ATTTTGTTTTGATGGGTTTCTTAAAAAATTTTTTACCTTTTGACCCCCTTCATCCATTTCTTCCACCCCACACCCTGTCTCTGGCAATCACCAATCTGTTCTCTGTATCTTTGAGTTTGGTTTATTTATTTATTTATTTTTAGATTCCACATATAAGAGAGATCATAAGTATTTGTCTTTCTGTATCTCACTTATTTCACTTAGCATAATGCCCTTGAAGTCCATCCATGCTGTTGCAAATGGCAAGATTTGGTTCTTTTTTTAATCAATGAATAGTATTCCAAAGTGTGTGTGTGTGTGTGTGTGTGTGTATATACACACACACACACACACACATATATATATGATACCACAATTTCTTTTTTTTTTTTGAGGAAGATTAGCCCTGAGCTAACATCTGCTGCCAATCCTCCTCTTTTCCTGAGGAAGACTGTCCCTGAGCTAACATCCCTGCCCATCTTCCTCTACTTTATATGTGGGACGCCTGCCACAGCATGGCTTGCCAAGCAGTGCCATGTCCACACCCGGGATCTGAACCAGCAAACCCCAGGCCACCAAAGTGGAACATGCAAACTTAACCGCCACGCCACTGGGCCAGCCCCATCTACCACAATTTCTTTATCCATTCATCCACTAATGGACACTTAGGTTGTTTCCATATCTTGGCTATTGTCAATAATGCTACAATGAACATGGAAGAGCATATATCTTTTTGAGTTAGTGTTTTTGTTTTCTTTAGATAAATATCCAGAAGTGGAAGTGCTAGATCATATGTAGTTCTATTTTTAACTTTTTGAGGAACTCCATTATTGTTTTCCATAGTGGCTTCACCAATTTACATTCCCGTTAATAGTGCACAAGGGTTCCCTTTTCTCCACATCCTCACTAACACTTATTTCTTGTCTTTTTGATAATAGCCATTCCAACAGGTGTGAGGTAACATCTCATTGTGGTTTATTTGCATTTCTCTGATGATTAGTGATCTTTAGCACCTTTGCATGTACATATTGGTCTTCTGTTGTCTTCCTTTGAAAAATGTCCATTCAGATCTTCTGACCACTTTTTAATCTTTTTTTTCTATTGAGTTGTATGAGTTCTATATATATTTTGGATATTAACTCCTTATCAGATATATGATTTGCAAATATTTTCTCCCATTAAGTAGATTGCCTTTTTAATCTGTTGATAATTTCCTTTGCTGTGCAGAAGCTTTTTAGTTTGATATAGTCTCACTTGTTTATTTTTGTTTTTGTTACTTTTGCTTTTGGTATAAGATTTAAAAAATCATCGCCAATACCTAAGACAAGGACCTTACTACCTATGTTTTCTTCTAAGAGTTTTATGTTTTGGGTCTTCTGTTCAAGTTTTTAATCCAGTTTGAGTTAATTTTTGTATATAGGGTAAGACAATGGTCCAGTTTCATTCTTTTGCATGTGGCTGTTCCGTTTTCCCAACACCATTTATTGAAGAGACTCTGCTTTCCCCATTGTATATTCTTGACTCCTTTGTTTTAAATTACTTGACCGTATATGTGTGGGTTTATTTCTGGGCTCTCTATTCTGTTCCATTGATCTATGTGTCTGTTTTTATGCCAATAATATACTGTTTTAATTACTTTAGCTTTGTGATATAGTTTTAAATCAGGGAGTATATTGCCTCCAGCTTTGTTCTTCTTTCATATCTTTAAAATGAAGAAATAGGACAATTACTTGTTGGATAATTTTTAGGTTTACTACACATTTTGCCTGCTTTGATGTCTGCATTATCATGAGATTATATCCTCATGCTCCTTCCTCATTGTCCTGGACAAATAAAAATACAATATTCCAGGTAATTATATCTGCTGTAAAGAAAAATAAAGATTTTTTTTTAGAGATTTTTCCCCTTCAGTGGACTTAGCATTTAGCCCAACATAATCTCACCAGTGCACCAGCCAAGACTTTTTGTCTGACCTTTGCACTTTAGGACTCAACAGTATTTACAAAGGTCATGTGTTTAAGTGATGTTAGTTATGATCTTAGCACAATCCATTTGAGACTCTTCTTGGCAACTTTTGTTTGTTCCTGTATCTACAGCTTGGAAAATGTTTACAGTGTTATATTATTGTTACTGTTTGGGAAACTTACAATTCAACATTTTGTTGTTTTCTTGTTTTATGTTACTTAATGATTCTCCCAAAAACCAAAGTAATGCAGTTAATAATCTTTATACTTTACTTACTGTTTCTTAACTTGAAGTCATTGCGTTAGTTCAAGGTTCCCCGACCTGGGTTTTGTGACCTATTAATAGATGTTTTAGAAAAACTGTGTGTGTATAAAGGGAATGGGGGGGATTCTATAATAAGATAAATTTGCTTGCTTACACACGCTCTAAGGAATTTCAGGAATGTTGGCATGTTAAAAATCTCTTGTGAGTCCTGAAAGGAGAAATTTAAAAATCTTTTAAACTTTGTTTAATCCACCGCTTCTCAAAGTCACTTGATCATGTAACCCTTTGAAATTTGGCGTAGGTGGGAGGTAGAGAACTTCTATTAACAGGGAATGAATATTCCAAAGACCACAGTGTAGGAAATGCTGTAGTTTATGCTTAAAGTTGTTTGCATCTCTCACTAAAGCGCTAAGTCACTTACGACACAAAAGCAGTGAAACCAAAATAATTAACTTATTTTTAAATAGATCAAACAGCATGTTAATTGAGTACATTTTTAGTTTTACTTTTAAAAGGATTAATTTTTAATGATTCAGATATGCTTATGATTCAGAATGCTTTCACATAAATTGGTCCTTACTGTGTATTTGCGTCACATTTATTATTATCCCCATCTCATGGATTAAGAAGTTGAAAGTGAGAGAGGTTAAATAGTTTCCCTTATATAACACAGGTTTGAATTTTGGTCTTCTGGTCTTTTTTTTTTAACTCTGATTAGAAAAATAACTAAGGAGATGCCTTTTTTCTGATATCCATGGTCCATACAACTTTCTAGTTACCAAGCCAGCCTTCTCCCACAAATTCAGAAAGCCTTCCAGCCAATAGCCACTAGCAACAGTTTTGAAAAATGTCTTCAGGGAAAAAAATATGTAGTCTCACATATTTGATTACAACTCTCCTTGGAGAGGTGTGGGTTGATTAATATTGTACTGGTAAATTACTTTCTAACTTCTACTTTGTGACATTGGAGATGCTAATTTATACTTAAAACTCTCTTATAAACAATTAGGGGATAGGCAGTATTCTCCTAATTGTTCATCAGAGAGAATTGAGATGCTCAGAAATTACTTGGTTTGTGTGAAACTCACATACCAAATTGAGTGAAGAGTACACTGAGTCATGCTGTTTGTGAAATCTCCTGTTTTTATGAGAAAACTGCCATACCCAGATTGTACTTCTTCATGACCTATTATAAAGGTCTTTCCTTTCCCAGATTTTAGTTTCTTGAGGACGTAACTAGCTTGCCAGGAAGCGCTTGCTTATTTACATTGAGTATCCTCTTGACATCAGCATGGGGTTACTTATAATTACATGCACATGTATAAATAAAATGATTAGCTATTCTCATATAAACATAATTATATCTCTCTAAAATACTGCACGCAGAAATGTTATAAGCCAGTGATAAAGGGAAAGCAATCTGCATGACCCCTCTTTTATATGTAAACAGTGGATTATTAAGGCTGTTGCACAGTCAGTTAATGAGGTCAATTACAGTTGGGACTCATTGAAATATTAAACAACAAAAATGCCTTTTTCAGTAATGTTCTCTATACAAAGCTGAAGTGACCTTTCTGCCATTTTCCAAGGACACTCCATACGTTTAGACTTTAGCTCAGGATCATATTAACTCAGCAACTAGTTCTGAAAACAGAGGCTCTTTTTGCATCTAGTTGTTTTGAACAAATCTGGAGATCACACTTTAAAGAAAGGAATTGTGGAATGGCTGGAGCTGAAGAAGTTTGATTTCCTTGGAGCACAATAGTTAATGCAGCAAATCATTTCAGTTCATTGTCATTTAAGGTTCTTCTCTGAAATTGAAAGCACGAGCTCACATGTTCATTCACAAAATATTTGCCTAATTCTTAAGAAAAATTAGACTTTCAAAGAAAAATTTTCAGGTGTAACTGCCTATTACACCCATCCCACTGGCATTCTGGGATTAATAAATATTTGTGGAAAGGTTGCTGTTTGCTATTTCATATTCACTCTTTTATGGATATAATAATTTTTTCACTAATTTTTTAAAATGCAGCTTTACACTTATGGGACCAGCCAAGCAGTCAGTCAATGTATGTTTATCAAGTATTTGCTACAATATTAAACCACCATCTTACTAAAATAATGGAAAAAGAATTCAACCTCACAAGTAAGAAAAGAGTAAGAATTTGTGTGGATAGTAGGAGGCATTAGGAGGTAGCTGAATTGAGACTCAGGCATTATTCTGTCTCTAACTAGGGTTAAAAGTTTGGATTAGTTACTTTGTTCCTCTGTGCCAAAGTTTCTCAGTTAATGGAAAACTATAAAAATATATTGGAAATCACAAAGTGCTATTAGTATGTGGCACTACGATGCACTTTAATGATTATTATCTATAAAGTGAAGCAAGTGATCTATATAGTTTCCAGGGTGACTTCCAGCCTTACTATATCAAAGTCATAGACTCTCTGGGTCTGTAATTGGAATGTTAGCACAGTAAGTGTTGCCTGGTGCTTGGCACATGCTTAGCAAACTATAAATGCATATTCTTTTGACTTAAAGAGGTTGGACTTCTCTTAATCAACTATCAGTGTACCTTCTAGTCCTCTAGAAATAAAATCTTCTTGACTGACAATAGGAAGACTGGTAAAATGCTTTAGGGGACTGTGATTACTTTCTGTATATATTTAGCAGGCTGAAAAAGGAGTATTGGGCAACAATATGAACTTCTAACTTGACCATTTCTTTCATGAATGCAGTAGAATTCCATTGCTAAAAGACAGATTTGTAATGATAATTCCTTTTGCTTTCAGAGCTGAGCTATGCCTGGATCTTCAATGAATACCCTTCCTATCAGGATAATCGTCGCTTCGTTTCTCAAGAGACTGGGAATCTGTATATTGCCAAAGTAGAAAAATCAGATGTTGGGAATTATACCTGTGTGGTTACGAATACAGTGACAAACCACAAGGTCCTGGGTCCACCCACCCCGCTAATATTGAGAAATGATGGTGAGTTTTCTAAGGGATTTCATTAATTTTGTTCTTTGTGATCACAGGTTGAGTATGGAAAGTTGTTATATTATTGGCATGCGAAGCTTGATTATCTAAATTAAATTTAAGAAAAGTTTAATGCTTTCTACATTTAGTACTTGTATTTTCTCCGCTTGTGTAAAGAATAAACCCATGTATCCATTTTGGAAAACTAATTAGAAATCTAATTGCTAATCTCAACAGGAATGGAATGTAGATTTAGGTGAATATAAATAACAAAGGAATCTGTTTCTTGTTTCCTTCCACCTAAATTGTGTACACAGGCAGAATGAAGTGAAGGTTGAACAATTAGCTCATTAATCAGTTCTATGTAATTTAGTATTCTGTGTCCAGAAAGAAGTTTTAAATTATCCAAATAACTTCTGAATTTATGTTACTGAAGACAGTTCCCACCATAGTGAAATGCAGGAATATCAAGGCTTATTTGAGACAGAAGTTTTAATTTCCTACACTTTTGTGAGAATATTTCAAGAAAATGTGGAACCTCCCCTGAATTACTTAGATGGATGACAGGACAGTGTATGATAATTCACCATGTGATTTTTAAAGACAGTCTTACGAAATGATATGCCAAACTCTGGTAGCACCATGCCTTTTCCCCACCATGGTCTTCATATACCCACCATGAGTATTTATATGTATTCTGTTTCCTCTTCTTGAAATGCTCTTCCTTCTTCTAGTCACTTGATTAACTTATGCTGGTCCTTCCAGTTTCTTCCAATATATAACTTTCTCCAGGAAGTCATCTCTGTCTCCCCTCACAGTCTAAGCTTCATCAGATGCCTTCTCTATGAACTCCAATAAAGCCCATTACTACCCCCAAGAATTCTTTATTCTGCATCACAATTGTCAGTTCACTGTCTCTCTAACTATAAACTTACCTTTTTAAAAGCATATGCAGTATCTGGATCACTAATACATTTCCAGCACCTAGTACAGTACTTGGTACCCAGAAGATCCTCAATAAATATTTGTTGAGTGAATGAAAACAAAGGCATAATTAAGTTCTTCAATAATGGCTGATATAATGATTTGAGCAGTCACAGTTTACGTGTTTAAGTTTCTATTCTTTATAAATCCCTTTCCCAAATACGTATTTAAACCTTCCATTATGAACAAGAATTACTAGACCCATCATACAGGTGAGGAAACTGTCAGCCAAGAACATTAATGACAAGCATTTATTAGGCACTTACTATTTTCTCAGGACTCAGAATTTCACCTCGATTGTCCCATTCAAATCTCAAGCAATTATATGAGGAATATCTTTTTTATATTTCACAGATGAATGAACTGGGGCTCAGACGTGTTAAATAACAAATCCCAAAGCCACACAGCTAGCTAAAAAATACTGACTCCAAGATTCACACCCAGCATCCACAGCTTATTGACTCCAGAGCCACATATCAACTCCTCACTATGTTCTTTTTTATTGCACTACACCATCTCTTACCTGAATTTATACAAAAAAAAAAAAACTTGGCAAATTAAAGCCTGGAACTCAGATTTTTCTCCAAATTTGTTTCCCTTTCTCTTTGTACTGAAGGAACTTTGTACCCAAGTGAGGCTATGAACCTGAACCTCCCAAAACAGGGTATTTGCAGACAAACCTCTGCAGACAGGGTCTGAACATCCTTACAGCATAGACCGTACTGTGGAGTTTTTGAGCAAACAATGTAGATTTCAATCATTCATTCGTTTAACATATATTTATTGGGGCTGGCCCCATGGCCGAGTGGTTAAGTTCGTGTGCTCCGCTGCAGGTGGCCCAGTGTTTTGTTGGTTCGAATCCTGGGCTTGGACGTTCTACTGCTCATCCGGCCATGCTGGGGCAGCGTCCCACATGCCGCAACTAGAAGAACCCACAGTGAAGAATATACAACTATGTACTGGGGAGCTTTGGGGAGAAAAAGGAAAAAAATAAAATCTTTTAAAAAAAAGAAACATATATTTATTTAGCACTTGCTACGTGACAGCCACTTCCCTGGGTGCCAGTGAACAAGAACAGGAAGGCCCCTATCTCATGGCACTCCATTCTCCTGGAGCACACAAGTGAAAACAAACAAACAAATGTAAACAAAAACAAAAATCCAATTATTTTAGATAGTAATAAATAGATAAAATAGAAGCTCTGTGGGGTGGAATGTGTACTTTAGACAGGCTTGTAATGGAAAGTCTTTCTGGGGAGGTAATATATGAGCTGAGAACCAAATGATAAGAAGTCAATCCTTTGAAGATTGGAAGGAGGAGCATTCCGGGCTGAGTTATCACGTACAAAGGCCCTGAGCCCTGAAAAATCATTTGGCATGTTCAGGGAATATGAATGTGAGCATGGTTGGAGCACACAGTGGAGGGTGGTTTGAGTTGAGGTTGGAAAGGAATGAGGGGAAGATCATGGAAACCATGGAGAGTTGACTGGATTTTATTTCAAGTGCAGTGTGAAGCTGTTAGAGGATTTAATGCAAGAGAGTGATGCATGTTTTTAAAAAGATTGCTTTGCTACTGTGTGGAAATGAACTGTAAAAAAATGAGAGTGGAAACTGGAAGTCCAATTAGAAGACTTTCGCACTAACTCAGTGGGGAAATGATAACAGCTTGAGCTAGAGAGTAGCAGTGGAGAGGAGAGAAGTGGATGGATTTAGGATATAGTTTTCAGCTAAAGCTGCCAGGACTTTCTGATGCACTGGATGTGGGAGGTGGTGGAAGAGAAAATCGAGAATGACACATAGGTTTCTGGCATAGCAGTTGGGTTTATGAGAATGCCATTTACTGAAATGGTTTTACTAAACAAGTTTTTAAGGGAAAAGTCAAGAATATTATTTTAGTCATTATTTGTAAAACCAAAAGCATGACTTCTCCCTTGGCAATAGAAAGAATTATTTGTTGTGTGCTTCTTGTTCCATCTTTCTATCATAATATTCATCTGATATGTTCATATTTTCTTCTCAGCTTGGCTTCCCCCACCTCAAGGATACTGTGATCAAGCACAGATCATAGTTTTTATCCATCTTTGTACTAGGGCCCAGCACAGTGCTTGCCTCATGACAAGTGCTAAATTAATATGTTGGAATAAGCTGAATTATATTAAATAAACCTGAAAAATCTTATCAGTTTAAAAAGATAAGTAGGTAAATGACGAGTTCTGTCAAAAGCTATCAGTGCTATCTCTTCAGACCTAAGAATGAAGAAACTTTTTCGAAAGATGTGCTCCAGTGGCATTTTGTACAGAATTACTTAAAAATACAGCCCCTCTGGCCTCTGTGCATAATACACTAATGCCAAAATGTCTGTTCAGTGGTGTTATCTGTTTGAGTGTAAGTCACAAATGTAGCGAAATACTGACTTTGATGCAGTAAGACACAGCCCAGGAGAGACATCAAACTGAGTTGCTGATTCAGAAAGAAGCAAAAATTCACAAACACAGGAACTCCAGAATCATCATGTGCACCTCAAGTTGGCAACAACTTTGCCTTTTGCTTGGCTTTTAGATTTATCTTGACTTGTCTAGTATATCTTCATTGAGATGACAAATGTTTTTTATTATAATATTTTATCACAAATTAGCAGACTAAAGATCTCATTCTTCAGCGATTAATGCCCATTCATTCTTAATTTCCATGAGAGTTTCATGGTGAAAATTCATAATATGTCTTTCCCATTTAGGCTGAAGTACATAAAATGGCTACTTGAACTATATTACTAAGCACAAAATAGGTTATTTAATTAGCTCTTGTCTGGAGGTAAGAGAAAAGGGGATATATAAATCAAGAAGAGATTGCAAAATAAAGATGACATTCTTGTTAAAGTCTACTCTGTAAGAGCAAAATCAATGAAATTATCGTTCCACATGATCTGGTGTTTAGTGACTATGTATTAAACTGGTAAGTGCAAGGTGAGTATAGAGTTTGTACAATCATTTTGATAATTGAAGCTCACTCAAAATTTCACATCTTCCTTCTGCCTCTGAAACGTAAATAAGCAAGGCAATGGAGTTTATTGTCTGAACAGAACTAATTGCCATAGCTGGTCATTTTCCTTACTAAGTGCAGGTGTATCTTAAAGAACTAGATGTCCTCAATATTCAGGTTATTTCTCTGGAGGTCCAGCTAAGCAGATCTGGACTGTGATTCATTGTTTCTAGCCTAAAAGGTCACAGTGAGTCATAAAAAGTGAACAGTGAACAGTTGGCTCAGGTCTTGATAAGAAGCAAGTGTGATGTGTCACATGTCAATCCCCTGACCCTATTTAGCTCTTGTTCCCAAGAGACTACAGTTCTCCAAGACCTTGATACTTGCTGTTTCCATGTCCCTGATTTTTCACATGGCTCACCCCTTCCTATATCTCAGATTGTTACTGAAATATGGAGCAGGGTGATTCAAGGGTACGCTGTGAGGACTCTGGCTCTCTGCGTGGAATCCAGTTCCACCACTTATTAATTATGGGACTTTGGACGTCAATTTAACCTCGTTGTGTTCCGTATTCTCATCAGTCAAATGAGGATAACAGTACCTACCTCTGAGGCTTACTTTGTGTGTTAAATTACATATAAAGTGCTTTGAACAGTGACAAGATAGAAGAGCAACATCAATAACTTACTTGCGTAAGATATGCTCAACAAATTATATGTTTAAAACATAGATTAGGTAGTGTATAGATAGTAGTATCCTTGTTTTGTAAAACACATGTAGATAATGACAGAGAAAGCTGGAATATCACTCTCCAAAATGGTAACAATGTTAAACTTTAAAGCGTTTAACTTTTAGTGGTAAAATGTTCAATTCTTAGTTTTTTTCTTTTTGCTTCTCTGCACTTTCTCAGTTTTCTACAGTAATTAGAGATTTTTTTAATTTTTTAGAAAAAAATACTTGGTAAAGGGCTGTCCACAGATTATTGGACCTAGAAGGCACTTACAGATCACCCAATTTTATATCTTTATTCTTCAAGAAAGAAGGGAACTG